TAGGGCCATGCTGAATTCCCAGGATTTGGGATCACCATTTTTCCTGTTTCCCTGTTTTCCATTTTTCCCATTGTTTTCCAGGCGCACATTCCTGTTCGGGACCGTTCTAAATTCCCAGGATTTGGGATCACCAATCCCATTTTCCATTTTTCCCACTTTCCAGGCACCCATTCCCATTTAGGGCCGTGCTGAATTCCCAGGATTTGGGATCACCATTTTTCCTGTTTCCCTGTTTTCCATTTTTCCCATTGTTTTCCAGGCGCACATTCCTGTTCGGGACCATTCTGGATTCCCAGGATTTGGGATCACCAGTCCCATTTTTCCCACTTTCCAGGCACCCATTCCCATTTAGGGCCGTGCTGAATTCCCAGGATTTGGGATCACCATTTTCCCTGTTTTCCATTTTTCCCATTGTTTTCCATTTTTCCCATTGTTTTCCAGGCGCACATTCCTGTTTGGAACCGTTCTGGATTCCCGGGATTTGGGATCACCAATCCCATTGTTTTCCAGATGCACATTCCCATGATTTGGGATCACCAATCCCATTTTTCCCATTGTTTTCCAGGCGCACATTCCTGTTCGGAACCGTTCTGGATTCCCGGGATTTGGCCTTTTCCGACCCCACTCCGGACGGGAGAGCTTTTGCTTCCCGTTACTGCGGCGTTCCCAATTTCCTGGTCTACAACTTCCTGCACAACGGATCGGGATCCTCGGGATCATCGGGATCGGGATCATCGGGATCCTGAGCTCAGGAAGTGCTGGAAAATCCGGGATGGATCCAGGGAGTCCTGCTGAGATCCCTTGGGAATTCTGAGCTCCCTTGGGAATCCTTCCCTGGGAATCCTCCCCTTCCCACTTTGTGTACAGTTGATTCCTGGAAATCCTGGAATTCCGCCGGGATTTCTTTGGGAATTCTTTTGGTTTGTTGGGATTTAAGTTAATTGGGGTTAAAGGTTCGTTAATAGAATGTTTGGAGTTTGTTGTTCACCCCTGGTGTAGTCTTGGATTTTTTTTTCCTGAAATTTTTCCCATGGGATTTGTCCTTTGGAGGTTTCTAGCCAGGAAATTCCAGGATTTTATTAAAACATTCCAGGGATTTGTGGTGAGATTCTTCCCATCTGAGCTCCCAACCCCTGGAAAAGCCAAATTCCCAGAGAAAATCCACAAATCCCACACAGAGAAAAAGAAATCTTTATTGGGAATGTCTGTGACACAAAACTYGGGAAAATCCACCCCAAAAAAGATGGAAAATTCAACCTAAAAACTTGGGAAAACTCAACCCAAAAAGGGAAAATCCAGCCCAAAATAAGGGAAAATCCAACCTAAAAGAGGGGAAAATCCATCCAAAAAAAAGATGGAAAATTCAATCTAAAAATTCGGGAAAATCCAACTTAAAASAGGGAAAATTGAGCCCAAAAAGGGAAAATTCAACCCCAAGAATGGGATTCCCTAAAGGAGGGAAAATCCAATCCTTAAAAAGAGGGGAAATAATAGTAAAAACTTGGGAAAATCCACCCCAAAAAAGATGGAAAATTCAACCTAAAAACTTGGGAAAACTCAACCCAAAAAGGGAAAATCCAGCCCAAAATAAGGGAAAATCCAACCTAAAAGAGGGGAAAACCCATCCAAAAAAAAGATGGAAAATTCAATCTAAAAATTTGGGAAAATCCAACCTGAATGAGGGAAAATCCAGCCCAAAAAAAGATAAAAAATTCAACCCCAAAAAGGGAAAATCCAACTCAAAATGAGGGAGAATCCAACCTAAAAGAGGGAAAATCCAGCCCAAAAAAAGATAAAAGATTCAACTTAATAAAAGATTCAACTTAAAAAAGGGAAAATTAAACACAAAAAAAGGAAAATCCAACATAAAAGAGAGGGAAAATCCAGCCCAAAAAACTTGGGAAAACCAAACCAAATGAGAGGGAAAATSCATCCCAAAAAACAGGGAAAGTTCAACCTAAAAACTTGGGAAAATCCATCCCCAAGAAGAGGGGGAAATCCATCCCCAAAAAAATGAAAATTCAACCCAAATAAAGGGAAAAGCTGAGCTAAAAACTCAGGAAAATCAACTCCAAAAAAAATAGGGAAAATCCAACCTAAAAGAGAGAGAAAATCCAGCCCAAAAAACTTGGGAAAATCCAAACCAAAAGAAAATTCAACCCAAACGGAGGGAAAATCTGACCTAAAAAAGGGAAAATTAAACCGAAAAAGGGAAAACCCAACCGAAAGAATGGGATTCCCTAAAGGAGGGAAAACCCAATCCTTAAAAAGAGGAGAAATAATAGTAAAAACTTGGGAAAATGCAACCCCAAAAAAAGGGAAAATCCTTCCCAGAAAAGAGGGAAAATCCAGCCCCAARACCAGGGAAAATCTGACTTTAAAAAGGAGGAAAAATTTACCCCTAAGAGGGAAAGTTTGACTGAGAAATGAGAGAAAATTCAACATAAAAAGAGAGAGAGGGAAAAATTCAACCCCAAAAAGAAAGAAAATCCAACTGAGGAATGAGAGAAAATTCAACGTAAAAAATGAGGGGAAATTCAACCTAAAAAACGAGGGAAAATCCAGCCCCAAAACCAAAGAAAATCCGACTTTAAAAAAGAGGAAAAATGTAACCCCATAGAGGGAAAATCCGACTGAAAAATGAGAGACAATTCAACATAAAAAATGAAGGAAAATTCAGTCTAAAAAGAGAGGGAGGGAAAAACCCAACCCCGAAAAGAGGGAAAATCCAGCTGAAAAATGAGGGAAAATCCAACGTACAAAATGAGGGAAAATCCAGCCCCAAAACCAGGAAAAATCCGACTTTAAAAAAGAGGAAAAATCTAACCCCATAGAGTGAAAATCTGACCTAAACCAGGTAAAACCATCCCAAAAAAAATGGAAAATGGATTCCAAGGTGAAAATCCAACCCCAAACCAGGGAAAATCTGACTTTAAAAAAGCGGATTTAACCCCATAGAGTGAAAATCTGACCTGAACCAGGGAAAACCATCCCAAAAAAAGAAAGGAATAATCGATTTCAAGGTGAAAATCCAACCCTAAAACAGGTAAAACTATCCCAAAAAAAAAATGGAAAACGGAATTCCAAGGCAAAAATCCAACCCCAAAATTTGGGATGTCACTGGGGGCAGGGCTGCGATTGCTCCAGCACCTCCACGATGCGCGCGGCCGGGGGGCGCTTGGCGGGGAGCTCCGCCGTGCAGACGGAGAAGAGCTCCACGATGGAGCCGTGGGACGGAGCCAGCAGCTCCGCGGGCAGCGGCGGCCGCGTGCCCAGAGCGGCGTAGTAGGAATCCTCATCGAAGGAATCCTCAGAGAAGGAGCCCTCTGGGATGGAGAACGGAGATTTTGGGATCAGTGCAAAAAATCCTAAATTCCATCCCGCTGAATCCCAGGTGATCCCATCCCGGTGATTCCCGCTGTTCCAGGGGGGGTTCAAATCCATCTTGGGATGTTCCCGCGATCCCAAATCCATCCTGGGACATTACCTGGGAGACCCTTCCCAAGATCCCAAAAAATCCCCCCTTTCCCAGTGGAATCCATTCCCACTGTCCCATCCCTCCATCCCTTATCCCAAATTTCCATCTCCAGCTCTTCCAGAGCCCTTTTAGGATCAGGAATGAGCTCTGAGCATTCCCTGGATTTTTCCCCTCTCCAGTGGAACATTCCCATCCCTTATCCCAAATTTCCCTCTCCAGTTCTCCCGGAGCTCCTTTAGGATCGGGAATGAGCTCTGAGCATTCCCTGGATTTTTCTTTTCTCCAGGGGAACATTCCCATCCCTTATCCCAAATTTCCCTCTCCAGCTCTCCCAGAGCCCCTTTAGGATCGGGAATGAGCTCTGAGCATTCCCTGGATTATTCCCATCCCTGATCCCAAATCCCTCTCCAGGAGCTCCTTTAGGATCAGGAATGGGCTCCGAACATTCCCTGGATCATTCCCATCTCTCCCATCCCAAATCCCTCCCCAGCTCTCCTTTAGGATCGGGAATGGGCTCCGAGCATTCCCTGGATTTTTCTCCTCTCCAGTGGAACATTCCCAGCTCTCCCATCCCAAATCCCTCTCCAGCTCTCCCAGAGCCCCTTTAGGATCAGGAATGGGCTCCGAGCATTCCCTGGATTTTTCCCATCCCGGATCCCAAATCCCTCTCCAGCTCTCCCAGAGCCCTTTTAGGATCAGGAATGAGCTCTGAGCATTCCCTGGATCATTCCCATCCCTGATCCCAAATCCCTCCCCAGCTCTCCTTTAGGATCGGGAATGGACTCCAAGCATTCCCTGGATCATTCCCGTCTCTCCCATCCCAAATCCCAGTGAAATTCCCAACCTGTGTCCGTGTCCATGTCCAGCTGGCGCAGGTGGGGGATGCTCAGGGTCAGCATTTCCCASAGGGTGAGGCCGAAGGCGAAGATGTCGGATCGGTCCGAGATGATCCCGCCCGGCTCCAGCGCCTCCCGCGGCTTCCAGGGCTCCGTGCCCACGTAACACAGCTCGGGGTCGCTCACTGCAACGGCACCCAGCGGGAAAATAATCATTCCCAAGGGGAATTCCAGAGCCCTGGGAAATCCTCATTCCAGAGGGGATTCCAGATCAGGAATAATGAATGAATAAATAATCATTCCCAAGAGGATTCTAGAGTGGAATGGGATCTGGGAAATCATCATTCTCAAGGGGATTGTGATCCAGGAAAATAATCATTCCATAGGGGATTTCAGAGCGGGAATGAGCTCTGGGAAAATAATCATTCCCAAGGGGGATTCCAGATTGGAATATGATCTGGGGAAATCCTCATTCCAGAGCGGAATGTGATCCGGGAAATCATCATTCCAGAGGGGAATGGGATCTGGGAAATTCATCATTGCAGAGGGGAATGGGATCTGAGAAAATAATCACTGCAACGGCACAGATCGGTAATGGGAACGGGAAATCATCATTCCCAAAGGGATTCTAGAGTGGAATGGGATCCGGGAAATTCATCATTCCCAAAGGGATTCCAGAGTGGGAATGGGATCTGGGATATCATCATTCCAGAGGGGATTCTAGAGGGGGAATGGGATCTGGGAAATCATCATTCCAGAGGGGATTCCAGATCGGGAATGTGCTCTGGGAAAATCCCTATTCCAGAGGGATTCCTGATTGGGAATGTGCTCTGGGAAATCTTCATTCCAGAGGGGAATGTGCTCCAGGAAATCCTTGTTGCACCGGGGATTCCAGAGCCCTGGGAATCCCCATCCAAGGAAGATTCCAGAGCAGAATGTGCTGCGGGAAAATCCTCATTGCACAGGGGATTCCAGAGCCCTGGGAAATCCTCATTCCAGAGGGATTTCAGAGTGGGAATGAGCTCCGGAAAAATAATCATTCCAGAGGGGATTCCAGATCAGGAATGTGATCCGGGAAAATCCTCATTCCAGAGCAGAATGTGATCCGGGAAATCATTCCATAGGGGATTCCAGATCGGAATGTGATCCAGGAAAATCCCCATTCTATAGGGGATTCCAGATAGGGAATGTGATCCAGGGAAATCCTCATTCCAGAGTGGAATGTGATCCGGGAAATCATCATTGCACAGGGGATTTCAGAGTGGGAATGTGATCTGAGAAAATAATCACTGCAACAGCACAGATCGGGAATGGGATCTGGGAAATCATTGCAGAGGGAAATGTGATCCAGGAAAATAATCATTCCATAGGGGATTTCAGAGTGGAATGTGATCCTGGAAGTCCTCATTCCATAGGGATTCCAGATCGGAATCTGCTCCAGGAAATCCTCATTCCAGAGGGATCCCAGAGTGAAATTGCTCCAGAAAAAAAAATCCTCATTCCAGAGCAGAAAGTGCTCCAAGGAAAATCCCCATTCCTGAGGGATTCCAGAGCCCCATGGATCCCAATCCCAGAGGAATTCCAGAGCCCTGTGGATCCTCATCCCAGGGGAATTCCAAAGCCCTGAGGATCCCCAGGTCTGGATGGATTTCTGATCCCTGTGGATCCCTCCAGGAGGTTCCAGAGCCTCCGGCTCCAAATTCCCAAAATTAAACGGATCCATTCCCACTTCTCCAGGAGATTCCAGTGCTTCCAGCTCCACATTCCCAATAAAACTGATCCGTTCCCTACATTAATACAGGAAATTCTGCTGCCTCCATGTGAATATTCCCAATAATATGGATCCACATTCCCAATAAAAACGGATCCATCGCCACATTCCTGCAGGACGTTCCAGAGCTTCCATCTGAATATTCCCAATAAATCCTGATCGATTCTCAATAAATCCTTATCCATCCCACATTCCTGCTGGAGATTCCAGAGTCTCAAGCAGAATATTCCCAATAAATCCTGATCCATTTCCCCCATTCCAGCTCCACATTCCCAAGAAAAACTGATCCAACCCCATACTCTTCCTCATCTCCAGAAGATTTCAGTGCCTCCAGCTGAATATTCCCAATAAATCCTGACCCATCCCCACATTCCTGCAGGAGATTCCAGTGCCTCWGAATATTCCAAATAAATCCTGATCTATTCCCACATTCCAGCAGGAGATTTTGGTGCCTCTGGCTGAATATGCCCAATAAATCCTGATCCATTTTCCGCCCTCTGACTCCACTTTCCTGATAAAAATGGATCCATCCCCACTTTCCTACTCTYCAGGAGATTCCTGAGTTTCCGGCTAAATATTCCAAAAAAATCCTGAACCATTTTCTGCCCTTTGACTCCACATTCCCAATAAATTCTGATCGATCCCCACATTCCTGCAGGAGATTCCAGTGCCTCTGTCTGAATATTGCCAATAAATCCTGATCCATTTCTCATCTTCCAGCTCCACATTCCCAAAAAACCTGATCCATGCCCATATTTCATCTACTCTTCAGGAGATTCAGGAGCCTCCAACTGAATATTCCCAATAAATCCTGATCCATTTCCTGCCCTCTGACTCCATATTCCCAATAAATCCTGATCCAGTCCCACATTCCTGCAGGAGATTCCAGAGCTTCCAGCTGAATATTCCCAATAATCCTGATCCATTTCCACCCTCCAGCTCCCATTCCCAATAAAAATGGATCCGTTCCCCACATTCGTCCAGGAGATTCCAGAGCCTCCACCTCAATATTCCCGATAAATCCTGATCCATTTCCCCCATTCCAGCTCCACATTCCCAAGGAAAACTGATCCATCCCCACATTATAAACCTGATCCATCTGCACATTCCCTGCAGGAGATTCCAAAGCTCATTGCTGAATATTCCCAATAAATCCTGATCCATTTCCCAGTTTCCAGCTCCACGTTCCTAACAAAAATGGATCCATCCCCACATTCCTGCAGGAGATTCCAGAGTCTCCAGCTGAATATTCCCAATAAACCTGATCCATTTCCACCCTGACTCCAGATTCCCAATAAACCTGTTCCATCCCCACATCCCAGCTCCAGATTCCCAAGAAAAACTGATCCATTCCCACATTCCTGCAGGAGATTCCGGTGCCTGTGGCTGAATATTCCCAATAAATTCTGATCTATTCCCACCCTCCAGCTCCACATTCCCAATAAACCTGATCCATCCCAATATTCCTCCAGGAGATTCCAGAGCTTCCTGCTGAATATTCCCAATAAATCCTGATCCATTTCCCCCATTCCTGCAGAGGATTCCAGAGCTTCCAGCTGAATATTCCCAATAAAACTGAATCCATTTCCCACCTTCCAGATCCACATTCCCAATAAAAACTGATCCATTCCCACCTTCAATCTGAATATTCCCAGTAAATCCTGATTCATTTTCCACCCTCTGATTCCACATTCCCAATAAACCTGATCCCACATTCCTGCAAGAGATTCCATTGTCTCCATCTGAATATTCCCAATAAACCTGGATCCACCCCCACATTCCTGCAGGAGATTTTGGTGCCTCTGGCTGAATATTCCAAATAAATCCTGAACCATTTTCTGCCCTCTGACTCCACTTTCCTGATAAAAATGGATCCATTCCCACATTTCTGCTGGAGATTCCAGAGCTTTCTGCTGAATATTCCCGATAAAACTGATCCATTTCCCCCATTCCAGCTCCACATTCCCAATAAAAACTGATCCATCCCCACATTATAAACTTGATCCATCTCCACATTCCCTGCAGGAGATTCCAAAGCTCATTGCTGAATATTCCCAATAAATCATGATCCATTTCCCCTATTCCAGCTCCACATTCCTAATAAATCCTGATCCATCCCCACATTCCTGCAGGAGATTCCGGTGCCTCTGGCTGAATATTCCCAATAAAACGGATCCATTTCCACCCTCCAGCTCCAGATTCCCAATAAAAACTGATCCATTTCCCCCATTCCATCTGAATATTCCCAATAAATCCTGATCCATCCTCCCATTCCCACAGGAGATTCCAGTGTCTCCATCTGAATATTCCCAATAAATCCTGATCCATTTCCTGCCCTCTGACTCCACATTCCCAATAAAAACTGATCCATTTCCACCTTCCATCTGAATATTCCCAATAAATCCTGATCCATTTCCTACCCTCTGACTCCATATTCCCAATAAATCCTGATCCATCCCCACATTCCTGCAGATTTCAGTGTCTCTGAATATTCCCAATAAAAGTGATCCATTCCCATATTCGTCCTCCTCTTCAGGAGATTCCAGTGTCTCCAGCTGAATATTCCCAATAAATCCCGATCGATTCCCACATCCCAGCTCCAGATTCCCAAGAAAAACTGATCCATTCCAACATTCCTGAAGGAGATTCAGGAGCCTCCATCTGAATATTCCCAATAAAATGGATCCATTTCCACTCTCCAGCTCCACATTCCCTATAAATCTGACCCATCCCCCCATTCCTGTTGGAGATTCCAGAGCTTCCAGCTGAATATTCCCAAAAAAGTGATCCAGATTCCAGATGCAGATTCCCAATAAAAACTGACCCATCCCCACATTCCTACTCTCCAGGAGATTCCGGTGTCTCCATCTGAATATTCCCAATAAATCCTGATCCATCCCCCTATTCCCGCAGGATATTCCGCTGTTCCCCGCTCCTTTCCAAGGGCCAAACCCGCTGACAAATCCTCCAGGACTTTTCTTGGGAACAATCCCGGTGTTCTCCCGATGCCATTCCCACATTCCCACAATCCCACAGGAATTCCCGGAGCGGCGTTCCCACCTGTCAGGTTCTCATCCAGGGGCAGCGACATTCCCACGTCGCAGATTTTCACCGACTCGAAGGCGCCTTTGACCACCACGTTGGGGGATTTGATGTCCCCGTG